CTTCTGCCTGGCATTCCCTTTTACCTGTGCTTTCTGCCTCCACAACATACAACATAGTCTCCACAGCACCACTCCATCAGTGAAAGGAAGAGTCAGACGGTGCCTTTCTCCTGCCTAATGATGCCCAATGACTTCCCACTGCCTTTGGAAATGCAAATTGATTTTTACTTCAGGACACTCTTTCCTTAGATCTTTGCACAATTACCCTTTTCATATCTCAATCTACTAAAGTTTTTTTTTTTAAAAAAAGCAGATTGTAGCTTTACTTGCTAACTAAAATAAATCTGTCACAGGATCTCACTGTGTAGGTTAGTCTGGCCTTGAACTTAGATGTATTTTAAACTGGCCTCGAACACTCAGTCCTCCTACCTCAGCCTCCAGAGTCACTATCTGTGGTTTTCTGACTGTAGTTTAAATATCCCCTGACTATCTGACTATTTTGGCTGAAACAGTCATGCCCTCTTACTAGCTGATGTACTACATGGCTTTACCTATAGAGCATATTCCACTTGAAACTTTCCTGTCCATTGTTGGTGGTTGTTGTCTGGCTCATCCAAGTACCAGGGACTTCTTTCATAGGATTAGGGAGCTCATTGCCTTGTTCATTGTTTATCCTTAGCATCTAGAGCACAGTCTGGTATGTATTAGTTCCTCAAAAATGGTCTGTGAAGTAGATGTGTGAGTGAATGGAAGCACGCCACTGTCAGGAACATTACAGCTCAGCTAGGGGGTGGGTGGTTACCAAGTAGAAACAGACTTTACATTGGAAATTAGGTCCCTGGGTGCCTTTCTTTTCTTCAGGTCTGTAGTTATACATAAGATGCATGTTTTAGACTTTGTTATTATAAATCCATTGTTCTCAACTTAGGGTGCTATCATCTCCCATTTGGCAATGTCTGGAGATATTTGGTTTATTAAAACTTAGCTGGAGGACACTGCCAGCATCTAGAGGGCAGCAGCCGGGGATACTGCCAGACACCACGCAATGCACACCACTACTTCCCATGGAGGAGGCTTGTGTGCCTAAAATGTCAATAAGCTCTAAAGTTGGGGGAAAAAAGTTGAGGTGGAGAGGGAGAAAGAGGAAAGATCTATTGTCCTGGAGCTTACAGCTGGGGAGACATGAGATAAACTGTATACCACAAACAGTGTATAGACACTGAAGACCATCAGAAAAATGGTGTGCTAAAAAAGAGTCAGTGTGGCAGAGGAAGGAGGAGCTGGTGGGTGCAGTGGTAGGATTTATGGCGGGTAGGATGGGCTGTCATTTTGGCCTCTTTGGGAAATGATTCTCCTGTGAAGGTGGAATGAACTCTACGACCTGGAAATGGCCAGTCTTTTGGGTCACTTTCAGGGGTGCTGAGCACTGGACCATGCTATTCCAGACATCACCCGCACATTAAAAATGAATAAAACCGGGGCTGGGAAGGTGGCTCAGTGCAGAGTGCTTGCCTCATATGCATGAGGCTCTGGGTTCGATTCCTCAGCACCTCTTAAGCAGAAAAATCTGGAAGTAGCGCTGTGGTTCAAGTGGTAGAGCGCTAGCCTTGAGCTGAAGAGCTCAGGGATAGCGCCCAGGCCCAGAGTTCAGGCCCCATGACTGACAGAGAAAAAAAACAACAAAACTCCAAACCCTCCTGAACCAAGGGATGTCTTAACTGACAAAAAAAATAGAGCAAATGGTCATGAGTTAGAAATAATAATTATTTTTTACTCCTTTTCAGGAGTGGTTTTCTCCTTTCTTCCACACCTTTGCAGCCTCCCTCACGGTGAAGGCAGGGCAGTGTTAATTCCATCCGTCTTTCCTGCACATTATCAGCTTCTCACTTTTCTCTCAGAGTAGCAGTGTGATTTCAGCCCCTCTCAGCCACACTGCGAGTTTTTGTTGGTTGTGCAGAGATTTTTCTGTCTGTCTAGGTTGACTTCTTAAGTCCAGTGGAAGTAGATTTTAGAATTTTGGGAAACCTGCATTAGTTGATGCTCATAAAATGTGGGCCAACACACATACATACATACATACATACATACACAAATCCACAGATGTATATGCATACATAAATATATATTTAGGATTTTGCTAAAATATGTACTAAAATTGTTTTGATAGTTTGGTAGATGTATCCTTGCTTTCTTTATCTTTTGCTCTCTTTCTTTTTTTTTCCTTCAGCATTTGGGTTTGAACTCAGGGCCTCATCTACTATCACCTACTACTTGAGCTGCTCCCAGACCCCTCTCCCCCATGGTTTTCTTTTTTGTTTTTGCTTTGTCAGTCATGGGGCTCGAACTCAGGGCCTGGTACTGTCCCTGAGCTTATTTGCTCAAGGCTAGCACTCTACCACTTTGAGCCGCACTGCCACTTCCAGTTTTGAGTGGTTAATTGGAGATAAGATTCTTCAGGGACTTTTCTGCCCAGTCTGGCTTGGAACCTCAATCCTCAGGTCTCAGCCTCCTGAGTAGCTAGGATTAGAGGTGTGAGCCACTGGAGCCTGCCCCCCACATTTTTTGGGGGCCCGATCGTGGGCCTGAACTCTGGGCCTGGGGTGCTGTCCCTCAGCTCTTCACCTCAAGGCTAGCGCTCTACCACTTGAGCCACAGCACCACTTCCGGCTTTTTTTTCTCCTGCTTATGTGGTGCTGAGGAATCGAACCGAGGGCCTAATGCATGCAAGGCAAGTGCTCTACCACTGAGCCACCTTCCTAGTCCCCCACATTTTTTTTTTAATTTAATTTAATTTTATTTGTGAACATACTGTACAGAGGAGTTACAGTTACATGGGCAGGATAATGCGTACATTTCTTACCAAGCATTGCAGCCTCCTCCTTTGTTTACCCTTCACATCCCTTCCCAGCCTCCCCCCTCCCCCCCAATCCCAATCCTTCTCCTCCCCCCCCCCCCGGCCCCCCCCCCCCCCCCCCCCCCCCCCCCCCCCCGCACCAACGTTGTAAAGCTCGTTTTGGACATGACAACTTGTACTTCTCATTGTTGCAACAGGTCCACCTGTATCCTTAAACAACTGGTTTTTCCCCATCTCCTCCACAACTTATACTAACATCAAATATAGTGAAAGCAGGGGTTATACTGTGGGGGAGGGACATACAAAGCAACAAAGAGATAATCTTATAAATGTGTTAGAAACACATGCATGAAAGAAAAAAACATTAAAATACACATCTAAGGGTTCATTTTCCTGACATCACATTATCTGACCTTTTCCGCTTGACTCATACATATACTAGATATTACAAATAAGGGAAACCATGGGACCTACGTTTCTTTGGGCCTGGCTTACTTCACTTCATATAATTTTTTCCAAGTTTTTCCATTTCCTAACAAATGGGGCAATGTCATTCTTTCTGATGGAGGCATAGAATTCCATTGTGTATATATACCACATTTTCTTGATCCATTCATCTACTGAGGGGCATCTGGGTTGGTTCCATATCTTAGCTATGGTAAATAATGCTGCAATAAACATAGTTGTGCTGGTAGCTTTAGTGTGCTCTTGTTTGTAAACATTTGGGTAAATGCCCAAAAGTGGGATTGCTGGGTCATAGGGGAGCTCTATGTGAAGTCTTTTGAGGAACCTCCATACTGCTTTCCAAAGTGGTTGAACAAGTTTACATTCCCACCAACAATGAAGTAAGGTTCCTTTCTGTCCACATCCCCTCCAGCATCTGTTGTTGTTAAAGTTCTTGATTTTTGCCGTTCTAACTGGAGTGAGGTGATATCTCAATGTTGTTTTGATTTGCATTTCTTTTATGGCTAGGGATGTTGAACATTTCTTCATGAGTCTATTGGCCATCCTTCTTTCTTCTTCAGAGAAATTTCTCTTTAAGTCTTTCGCCCACTTATTTATTGGGCAGTTGTTTCTTTGAGGATTTGTTGTTGGGGGGTTTAATTCCCCCACATTTTTTAAAGATAAAAGTCTCACACTTTTGCCTGGAGCTTGCCCTAAACTCTGTCATCTTAATTTCAGCTTCCCAAATAGCTAGGATTATAAGCAAGATCCACTATGGACAGTAGTCTATTTTTTCATTGCCATACCTCTTCACCATGGATTATCACAGAGTAGTTACTCCACAAATGTTTGTTCAATGAATAAATGCATTTAAGGAAGCAGTTGGAAATGACAGGATTGTACAATATATGCCCACATGAATGTATTTATGCCATAGAAACACAACTTGGTAAGTACAGTAGCATATTCTTATGGTGTTACCACTATGATATACTTTTTTTTTTTAGTCGGCCTTGGGTTTGAATTTAGGGCCTTGGCACTCCTCCTGAGCCTCTTCATGCTCAAGGCTATGCTCTACCACTGGAGCACAGCACAACTTCCAGGTTTTTCTGAGCAGTTTATTGGAGATAAAAGTCTCACAGACTTTCCTGCGTCAGTTGATTTTGAACTGCGATCCTCAGATCTCAGCCTCCTGAGTAGCTAGGATTACAGGCGTGAGCCACCAGTGCCTGGCTCACTGACTTTTAAATTTCTGTGTGTGTGTGTGTGTGTGTGTGTGTGTGTGTGTGTGTGTGTGTGAAATCACTGCAGTAGATATGATTTGACCTCATGTAACTCTTAGTAGTAAGTTGGGCACGGTGATAACGTATCTGTAATCCCAACACTCAGGTAGTTGAGGCTAGAGGATTGAGGATTTGAGGCCAGCTTGGGCTACATTGCAAGACCCTGTCTAAAAAACACACCAAACAACCTTAATAAAACCCAAAAACACCCACAAAAAGCAAAAACAAAAAAGCAGCCAAACAATCCAGACCCCAAAGTCTTAGTAGTCTGTGCTTTTTCCATGCATCTTAAACTTAAGGTAATGATTATTAAGCAGGAGGGAAAGTTTTAATAAGTGGTCTTGATTCAAATATATGTAAATTGTAGTGTTAAAAATTATGCAAATTATGGACACGGTGACATTTGATTTTGGGTGCCATTTTACTCTAATAAAGAATTCACTGACCACTTCACTGAATATGTGTCTATTTTTTTTCAGTGTTATTTCTTCACAATTGAGTTTGGCCTTTGCAAGCAAGAAGGTCAGCTGCGGGCATATGGGGCAGGCCTACTTTCCTCTATTGGAGAACTAAAGGTATGAAGCTGTGAATGAAAATATCCTTCCCAAACAAACTGGTTCAAGGTCATAGGAAATATTGATTTGTTTGTCTGAGCATTTCTGCTCACAGATAACCCATAAATATTTAATAGAGAGGATTTGGCACCTCAGATATGGGTGCTGACCTAACTTTTTGCACTTCTGAAAATGGGTCATGCCTTTCTGGGCTTGTGGTGTGACTCTAATAGATGAGCAGCCATGTGTACAGATCAATGGGAATGACAAGTGCATGCTCAAATGTTAGGTAACAAATGGCCGGCCTACATTTAGTGTTGAAAAATGGGCAGTGAGCTAGTGGCAGTCCCATAGGTGGGAACTCGCTGGCCAAGTGGCCTTGTGACTCTGATTTCTGCCACTTCCATGGCTCCCGTGGACTCCTCAATGTCTAGTTCACAAAAAAGGAAGTTTAGAGCTGTTTTAGCTTCTTCCATATTAGTACACATTAAAATGCTTGTGAAGGGGCTGGGAAGGTGGCTCAGTGGTAGAGCGCTTGCCTTGCATGCATGAGGCCCTGGGTTCGATTCCTCAGCACCACATAAGTAAAAAGAAAAAACCCAGAAGTGGTGCTGTGGCTCAAGTGGTAGAGCGCTAGCCTTCAGCTGAAGAGCTGAGGGATAACACCCAGGCCCAGAGTTCAGGACCCACGACCGGACCCCCCCAAAAAATAAAAAAAATGCTTGTGGATGCACAATTAAAACACAACTTGTCAAGGAAGTAAATAGTATGTAATAGTGATGCACAAAAATAATTTCTTTTGCCTTAAGATAGAGTAAAATGACTAGAAATGGTGGGATCTGGTAGTTTTATTTTTTAATTTAATTAAAGAGTTATCTTTAAGTAATTGTACAAAAGTGTTTCAACTCAACATATCAGTTTATGATCACAATGGGTCTTGGTCATTGATTGCTATACCACTAACTGCTAATTAATTGCTGTACCATTAATTGCTATACCACTGGGGGAAAAAAGAAACCAGTTTTAAATGTAAAACAAAAGCATCTAATAATACTTAATACTCATTCATGACAAATAGTAATGGATTACACTCTCAACTCTAGAACTACAGCTAATAGTAATAGATTACATTCTCAACTGTATAACTATAAGATACATAGTCTGTATCTTAGTTCTTATGCTACTATACCAGATTCCCACTCACTGAATAACTTACCAAGAATGGAAACTGACTTTCTCATAGTTCTGGAGGCTAGGAAGCCATGGTTGTTGTCTAGTAGTGAGGGTTCAGGTGGATATTTCAGAAGAGTTACATGTGTGTTCACAGGGTAGGAGGCAGAGGCTCAAGTCCTTCTCTGAAGTCAGCTGTGCAGTGCTCAGGGAAAGGACTCTTCATGGCCTCTTTACCTCCCCACAGCCCTCATGGCCTCACACCATCCCATCGGCAATACCTGAGTTTTGGAAGGAGCATATTCAACGTGTAGCAAATGGGAAAGACTAGATGTGGGAAAGCAGGTTTTGATACATTTAGCATGCAGTAAAATCATTTACTCTTTCTTTGACTGGTTAGCCTGAGATCAGATCAGAAATATGGACTATTCTAATTTAAAAAAGAACTGGGCATTATTAGCCTTAATAGAATTGGTAAATCTATAGGTATTGGATCTTTGTGCTTGTTTATATTCTTGAAAGACAAGATTTCATTGTAGTTTTATTGAGTCTGATCATTTTATGACTCCACTAATTAACAAAAACTCCTCAAAACTTTATTTGAGCACCTACAGTGTGTACTGTACTGTGCCAGACACCAGGGACAAAAAGGCAAATGGTAATTATGAAGAATAAGAATATGAGAAAATATCACAACCTTTAACAAATATTTAAATAGATTTTAGTATTTTGGTGCTTTAGCCATATTAACCCACTTAATCCTCTTAACAACCTACTTAGTGCTGTAAGAGGTATCATTGTCACAGATGAGAAAACCGAGGGAGGCATAAAGACATTAAGTTACTTCCTTAAGTTACACAGCTTAAATGTATTGGAATGGAGCCCAAATGTAGGCCTTCTAGGCCCTAGGATCAGGGTTCTTAACCACTAGCTGATACTGTCTGTGATCCTTGTTGTCCAGAATTTAATGCCTAGTGTGAGAAATAATCAGATAATAGAAAAGGTGAGCGAAATATGTTTGGCACATAGCAGGCCATTCCTGAGAAGGTTTCTGATGAAGTCTCTGTAGCCTATGCTCAAGGCTAGTGCTCTACCACTCTACCACTGGCTTTTTGGTGATTGTGTCACCAAAGATAAGAGTCTCACAGACTTTTCTGCCTAGGCTACCTTTGAACTGTGATGCTCAGATCTCAGCCTCCTGAGTAGGTAGGATTACCTACCCAGCTCTATGCTCATTGTTAAAGGATGGAAGGAAATATTAGGAAAGGGCAAGATGAACTGAATGGTTAACGGGCAGTGGAGTAACTACTACATGGTCTATTGTGACAGCCTGGCTCATTTAGGGGACTCTCTGAGGCTGAGCATGGCTGGAAGAGAAGATAATGTGATATAAGTTTTATTCCAGTTAAATCCTCAACAAGACATCTGTTTGCAAGTAATCTTATTGCAAATGGCTGAAAGCCACAGCAATGGCATGAAGGGCGTTGTCCCATAAGACTATCCCCTTTCCCTACTCTTGAGTTCCTCCACAGAAAGAGTTAGAGAGTGATGTATCTCCTGGGCTACCTCTGTTTTACATTCACTTCAGATAGTTTATATATTATAGCAGAAACAAAAGAAACAAACCTCTCTCATGGCCCCCAACTTTTGACAGGGTCTTCTGGTTAGGTTAATGAGGCATATGTGGGCAGCACTGGGGTGAATCTGTTGGTTTTGTTCTTACTGATGTGGACAGAATCGTGTAGAAATGGAAATCAGCCAGAAATATATACACCAAAGGGCATTGTCCTCCGTGCAGCCTCTTGTTCTGGTCCATCACCTCCAGTCATTAGCATTCTTCCATTCTCAAATTTCAACACTCCAGCATCCTTATGATGGCTACTTTGGACCATTTTTACAATTCAGAAATCGACTATTCACAGAGAATACATAACGTTAGCTTCTTTGGCAGCCCCTCCTGCCCTGCTCCTGGTAGCACCCAGACCCTCTCACATCAACTCTGAATACTTGTTTGAGTGAAGAAGCCCTGGTCCTGGACCCAATACAAGGATGGATTTATTAATAGCATTAGTGTAATTCTATTTAAGCATCTTTACAGTTTTGAATGCAGTTACGTTTTGTAGTAAAATATCTTTAGCTCTTCCTAAAGCAGTCCAAAGGTAGATCCCAGTTAATTTTGTTATTCTGTTCTATAGAACACTAGCAACAACTCCAAAAGTGTATCAGGGTGGGACTTTTCCACCACTGGGGAGAGAGAGCAATTAATCGTGAGTGAAGTCATCTGGAAAACTGACTTTGAAAAGTGGGTTGGAAATAGAATAATTGATTGCCATTTACCCACACTCTAGCATGTGTCTTTCATTATACACTCTTTTTTTCCCTCTCTGTCCTAGAGATGATCTAACTATATCATGCTATCATTTTTTCATTTATTGTTCACTTGCTTATTCATCTATTTTATTTAACAAACACAAAATTGATGGTCTAGGGTTTCATAGAACATGGACTAGGAAAGCTCTAAGAATGGATTGAAATGGATCTATGTTGAATCCAATTCTCCTGGAGACACAACAACGAAGTTTGCTCATATTAGGTGGCAAGGGAATGATAGCTAATCAATGAATTGTGAGTCTTATCTAAAAATTTAATCCATCACAAAAGTAAAGGCAGTTTCTACTTTTTTTCCCCTCTATGGCTAAGAATAAAGTCTAGTTCTTTATTTCCTTCAGAGCAGAGAACAGACTTTTTTTTTTGTAAGTGGCCTTAGCACCCACCCACTCCATAGTATTGCTAGAATATATATATATATATATATATATATATATATATACATATATATATATATATATATATATATATATATAATGTTTTGCTTTTTGGGTTTTGACAAGGCTCATGGTTTAAACAAATGTAGTTATTATTTCTGGGTTTTGCTTTTAAGAATGTCCTTGCATGTGGAATTTGTTGTCTGGTCTTTATTTAGCTATCAATCTGTAGTCTCAGAACAGCTTTCTACTTATCATGATTACTTGTATTTACTATCATTTCCGACATCTGTGGGAGGTGGTCAGAATTACTGCCAGTCTGTTGAGAAGAGCCTCGAGGGACTTGGAGGTTTTCTGAGGTTATCCTGTAGGTCAGTGGCTTGCTAGAGCTAGGACTTGGGGCTGCTGAACTCCCATTCCTTTATCTCATCAGCTCAGACCACACCTTCCTTTGTCTTTGTGGTTCCTTCAGGAATCTGGTACTATTACCAATAACTGGGCAAACTCCTGAGGACTGAGACCTGGAAAGTCCCAAGCTGAGCTTCTGACCTCTAGGAAGGAATTGCTTGAAGAGGGAGGCTGTACTCTCATTCATGCATCTTATTCAAACTGATAAAGCAATAACATCATTGATTAAAAAGCTTAAGTGTTCTGCACCATTGCCTAATTTGGCAATAGGGATGTATATGACATGTTGTGCCCAGTTATCAGGAAGAGCATTGAAAGGAGGTTAAAAATTATGTATCCATACAAATAAGTATGTATATGTAAACGATGCATCTACTTGTTCTGATGTGGGAGAAGATGATTATGGTGCAAGTCTAGGAGTGTTTGCAAATTTTTGTTCAGAATCTAGGTCCCAAACTACCTGTAAACCTGACTTCACACCTGAGTATTACTTTTTTTTTTCTCAAACTTTAACCAGGCTTGATTTAGAGAGTGAGGATCACAAGGTTTATATCTAGAGTAGTTGAGATAATAACTCTGTGTCATTGCAAAAAAAAAAAAAAAGGGAGTCTGGGAGCAAGATTTCAGGCTGATGAACTAGGGCAGTCACTATTGGAGTCTAGGACCTGGAAGACTCAAAACTGGGACAAGATTTCTTCCTCCAGGGATTCTAAAGCCTTGGGGGAGAGGAGCTTCCCACAGAGTGAAAGGTATGGTCATACACATAGGTACTGGCCTGAATTAGTAATAAGTAACTCTATTGAGTACTTTCCATGCCAGGCGTTCCTACATACCTCTTCATGTAGTTCTGAACTGAGCTTCTGGGTACCATTCCCATTTTCCAGATAACCACTGGACTAGGTTTACAGAGTGAAGTAATTTGACCAAAGTCATCTAGGTAGAAAGGGATGGAGTCAGATTTGAATCTTTATTCTTTATCTTAACTTCCACTTTAGTGTCTTGTAATATTTGCTAACAATTGAGTTCTGGGAAATTGTTTTGATGTTATAAAGTGATGTTTATATTTTAATAGGTGGGAATGGCAATTAAGCTTTAATTTGTCTCCTAAAACCAATTAATTGCTAGTGGCCACCTGTGTGAAGGGTGGCAAGGTCATCCCCCAGACCCAGTGGGAAAGTCTGTCATGGTCAATTTACATTGGCTGGAAAGGTGGGAGAGGGTGGGGCTACGAGGGCTGGCTATTTACAGGTCCTGTTAAAATTGTACTGCAGGTACAGCCTTAGAATCTGTGTAGGTCAACGTTTTCAGTTGATCCAGGAGGAAATTGCCCCCTAAGCTGAGGTAGTTGCACTCATTTGGAATTATAGATCTAGACCTCCAGGGAGGCAGAGGAGAACTCCAGTCTGCCCCTTTTAGTCCTGTGCCCTTGTCTCTAGCATTATGGGTAAATCCAAAATAATCCCTCTGGAAGGTTCAGACAGCAGGAGGCTTCTCTCAAGAACTCCTCTTCTTTTGCACTGATGTGAGAATAAAATACTGTCAAGCCAGACTCTGTCCCGCATTACAAAGCCTCTCTCTGCATGATGTTGGACCAATTCTTGCAGACTCCAGGATTTCACAGGCGTGACCCTTCAGCAATGATTTACCCCAGAGTCTCCCTAGGGACAGCATGTAATTTGGCCCAATGTTGACAGAGAACCCACTCAGAACATAGAGGAGAGGGCGAAATAGCTGCTCCCTCAAGGGCTCGTGAAGCAAACTGCCGATTGGAGCATGAACTTTGGAGTCAAGGGAGACTATATCACCGGTTTATAACCCCCTGAGCCATAGGGTGGTATTCAGAGATAGTGAGCTCCTGGGTGGCGTTGATATTCTGGGCAGACAGCACAGAGGAGGACATGGTCAGAGAGCTCCATTCCTTACTTCCCGGCCTATTCTGGAGGTTCAGTGATCTTCATACTCATTACCAGTCAAGGAGTACACTGGCCCCATTCTCCTAGGGTGCAGAGGTTCCTGTCAGCCAACATAGCACCTACAACAGGCTTCTGAGAGCAAATGGCATTTTGAGCACTTAGTCAACTTCCAGTTTTTCACTTATATGTTGCACAGGCAAGTAGGATCTATATTGCCTCAAATTCTGTGAACCCATTGATTCCCCCTCCCCCCCAAAATCTGAAGCAGGGTACCTTGTCTTTTGTCCTCTTCTTGATCTATTTGGATGCCCTTTCCCTGCTAAAACGACTAAATGTAGTCCTCTGTATAAGCGGTGGAATTGTCACATGGTATGTTTTCCTGAACCTACCCTGATTTTAGTCTTAGTTATTGAAGGTCCCTACCACACAGCCATTCACGTTGTTAATGCCCTACAGAAGAACTGGAGACCCAAGTGGGAGAGTTCCACTTCCTTTCCATGCGTGTCCTAGACCCAGTGCCACCTTTGCTTGCACAAGCATATCTCAGGAAGTCATTGCTTTGTTTTAGTAGCCTATGTTGCTATCACTGTGCCTGTTCCTGATGCAGAGATGGAAGAAGAGAAAGATGGAAGACACTGAGTCAGCCTGCCCCCTTTCCTTGTGTACTGCTGGATGAATGGGCCATGCAAATAACACACCCCAGTTAAATGTAACCATAGCATGTGGGTGCACAGAAAGGCGAGTCCTCATTCTGATAACCACTGCTAGCCAGTAGGAGGCCAATTGTTTGCAGAGGAGCAAGAGCTCTCATCAAAGGACAATTTTTTTCCCCCGAAACTCTGAAGTTATTTTTAAAAGGTGGACAGAATTATTGGTCTGTGTGGAACCCAAATCCCCCGATGTTCACTGCACTGTATTGAATGTAACACAAACACATTTGTAGGTGTACTGACCTTCTGTTCTATAATGAAGTTGTTCTGTGGGCTAAAAAAATGAGTTCACTCTGAGAGGCCCTCTGTATTCTGTGATTCATCTATGCATTGATCTAGACAATGGAACTTTGCAGGAAAGCAAATCACACACTGGGTAGAGCCACGTGCCCCTTGGCTTTCATGTCAGTGTTGGTTCGCAGTGGCATTTTCAAACTTAGGGGACCACTGTCTCCTTCACCGAGGATGGTACATCACAGCAAGCATTTTGAAATGGTTGGGAGGGGGGGACAATGCACCAAGAATATTGATCAGGAAAGGATTTTCAGAGTTTTCTTCTAGGAAATCTTAGTTGTTAGATTAAGATGGCAGTAGAGTGCTTTGGGTGGAATCCAGAGGTTGCATTAGAGACTATCATTAGGATCATTCAGTTCAAACTCTTCTCACTTAGTGTTGAGGGAGCAGAGGCTCTGGGAGGCTAAATGACCCGCCAAGGTTATGTAGCTGGACTTCAGAAACACTTGGACTAAAGGCAGTTGTGCTTTTCTACCTCTCAGTTAAGGCAGGTGCTGCTGCTCCTTTTCTCTTTCCCCAACAAACTTTCTCCCTTAAATTAAGAATAAACCCTAAAGGAGTAATTCTCAAGGTGTATTCCACAACTCCATATGTCAGACTCTCAGTCTCACCATGGGTATCTTTCCCAATGTGCATTTCTGCTGTTCATCCTGACCTGTCGAAGTAAGGCCTGGCTATCAGCACTCTCAAAAACGCCTCAATGACTCTTATGTATATTATGTTTTTAAACCACCCAGCCAGAGTGTTGACTTTGGACACCACTGAATTCATCTTGAGCAGACAGCCATTCTCAGTGCCTGTCACGTGGAGAGCTGAATGACACTAACGATGGTTCAAAGAGCAATGGCACCATTTTTCCCTCTAATACCTGCTTTGGGCATTAGTATAATTTTTAATATTAGTTCTTCTTTCTCCCTCAACTGGCAATATTTATCTGCTGCATATTGCTCTGTTGAACTTCATGAAAGGTAAATGAATGCTTTGTAAGCATCTTCAGCTACCGATAGGCACTCCAGGCTGTGTTGATACACAGTGCCTGGCTCAAAATGTCTCATAGTGAGTCCACAAATAGTTCAGTCAGAGTCCCAATTACCTTTCCACGCAGGTAATTATTACTTCTGCCATTTAAGTGAGATTTCAGTACATTGCTTATAGCAACAAATTTAGGAGCATATTTATGCTGTACTGGCTTCTATTCATAGCATAGATTTAAAATTCCATTTCTGTTGGGGGTGTCGCTGGGAACTGTCCTTCAGCATGAATTTTCCTGATAATAAAGAAAACAAAACCATAATCTCATTCCCCTCCATCCCTCCTTCAGCACCTGAGACTTTCCAAAGGAAAACAAGCAAGCAAGCAAGCAAGCAAAATTCTGCCTAACACCCAAGTTACCCCCTACACAGGGGGATTCTGTGTTTCCTGGCTCTGTAGGATTACTGAGATATCAAATACCTTGTAGGAATGTGATGTCATGGCATGTTGGAAGAGTCATTATGGAGTTGAATGGGTTTTGTGGTGTGTTTTCCAGCATGCTCTGTCTGACAAGGCGTGTGTGAAAGCCTTTGACCCAAAGACAACCTGCTTGCAGGAATGTCTTATCACCACCTTCCAGGAAGTCTACTTTGTCTCAGAAAGCTTTGAAGAAGCCAAAGAAAAGATGAGGTAAACTTCCTTCTCTACCATCGCTAGCAAATAAAGGTTTCATTTGTTGCAAGTCCTGTTCTCTCCTCCTATCTCTTTTATCCATGGGGGCTAATCATCTATCTGATTTCTGTTTATTCTGCAGAAACTTTGCGAAGTCAATCACTCGTCCTTTCTCAGTATACTTCAATCCCTACACGCAGAGTATTGAAATTCTGAAGGACACAAGAAGTATTGAAAACGTTGTGCAGGACCTTCGCAGTGATTTGAACACAGTGTGTGATGCCTTAAACAAAATGAACCAGTATCTGGGGATTTGATGCCTAGAATCTATGTGGTTACCATCATAATATTTGTGTGTGTATGCATGTGTGTGTATGTGTGTGTGTATGTGTGTGTGTGTGTGTGTGTGTGTGTGTGTGTGTGTGAGCTCAGCAGCAATTCAGTCAATATCAAATAACATCAATACTTTTCTGTGTTATGGCTTGACTTGTCAGCATGCAGTTCTGTACATTCACACCCACTTGTAACTTGCAACATCCCAAGGAACCCAGGGTCAGATAACCACTAATGGAGAGATGGTAGTATGTTTAAATGTTTTAGTAGATTTGACATTCCTTCTTGATATCCTTAGGCAAACTGCATCCTTAAAATTGGTAACAAGTCATCTTCTTAAACTTCTAGATTACAACCTCTTCTTCCTGGGACCTAAGCTTTCCTTGGCGTTCATTAGATACATTATAAGTAGCAGTGAAGCAGTTTCCATATTTAATAATATCAGTGTACGTACAGCATTATCACAGATATACCTAGAGCTGTAGGAAACTTCTCATCATAATTACAAAAGTCATGATATTCTATTGCAAAAGTCATTTAACATGGTAGTTGGAATGATATTTAGATTGAGTATTTATACAATGCAAGAAAAGCAGACTTTAATAGGATATATAGGTTGCATTGACCTTGTAGAAACTGAGTTGTAGCAAGCTTCCTCAAGTCTTCTGGAAGACAAAACTTCCAGAAAGAATATTAGCAGATACTGAACAGTAGGGAATAAATCTTGGGACTATGAATTTCATGCTGAAATAAAGTGAATTATCATCTTGGTTGTTGGACCCATTTCTCTGAACAGAGGACTATAAAATCACTTTTTATTTCAAAGATGAAGAAATTGTGTGAAAGAGGAGTTAAATGATTTGCCCAAGGTAGCATAGTTAGCTGTGTGCCAACATTCATAGCTCATTTTCTCTTGTATTGCTGAGAAGTTCAGCTTGGTGTATGTGTATGTTTGTATGTAATCACAGAATGGAAACTAAAGTCTATCAAAACTAATCATTATCACTAAACAGAAAATGGTTTGTGATTAAGGGTTACCTATATAGTACACATATTGTTTCCCTCACAGCTCCAAAACATGCCAGATCTGTGGAAGGTTGTCTACTTTCTCAAAGTTTGAGCAACTTGGGAAAAACAAGATGGTCTGAATTTTGGGTGATCTTTGTCATAAGAAATAAAATCAAGTGGTCAACTGAACAAATAAAAATCTGAACAAGAGAATAAATTTCATCTTCTGGTTTCTTCACCAAGCATGACTACTGCCCCCTGATTGTGCTTTTGGTAGGTCATATAGACTCCTAGATAGGAGCCTACAGAAAAAGTAGAAAGAAAAGATTACAAAATGACTTTAGTTACCAGTTCTTAGCTGAGCAGGGTGGCATATACTTATAATCCCTGCTATTTGGGAAGTGAAGCAGGAGGATTGTGAGTTGAGGCCAGTCCTGGAGAAATTAGTGTAACCTTATCTCAGAAACAAAATATAAATAATGCCACTCAAGTCTCAAATGAAAGAAGGTTTATCTAGCATACACAAGAACCTAGGTACAATCCCCAGTAGGGCAAAAAGAAGAAAAATAAAATTGTAATTCTTAAATATTTACCCAGCTAATTTTCAAGAATATTATTAGTAAGAAATTATGTTTAAATTTAAGCTAGTCAGTATTCTTTAATTTAAATTTTACTGTAAAGGTGATGTACAGAGTGGTTACAGTTACAGAAGTCAGGTAATGAGTACATTTCTTTATGAACGGTGTCAACTCCTCCCTCGTTTTCTACTAGGTTTTCCTCTTCCTATTCTCCCTTCCAAGTTATATAGCTCATTTCCAACATAGTGCCTTGTGAGGATCACTGCTGAATTGGTTCACCCTGTGTCCCACTGTTTTTGTGCTTCCTCTTCCCCTCCCCAAATCAGATAAACTATATAAAAGATAAAGGGTACAGAAATAAAAAACAGTGACAAAAGGGAATAAACCATAGGGGAAAAAAGAGAGAAAAAAAGAAACAATTGAAAACAATATAAAACCTCTTGTTTCCATTTCTCAGAGTTCATTTTATTAAGGATCATTTTATATGATTATGCATTCAAAATCTTTGGGCTAAATATATGCAGGAGAAACTGTTTTTTTTTTTTTTAAAGCTCAAACACACAACAAGGAAAGGTCAAATTGAAATGAATACCCATTCAGAGATTCGAATAATGGTTATCTTAACTGAAAAGGCTCTTCCTTTTCTGAAGCATTCTCAGAACAACAGAATTCTCGAGAAGACATTTGGTGGACAGAATGTGAGAGTCCTGACATTTAATTGCTATTTTAGGAGAAGAGGATGGTGCCGTGGAAAAGTATGTCTGGTAGAGAAATGATGAGCAAGCTGAACCCAATTAAAAGGATCTAGAATGATCAAGAAGTTGTTTATTTTACTAGTTTTCTAGAACTAGTCAAATATATAACTTGTTATATATCTTGCTTTGCTGCATCTAGATGATCTTTAATAAGTACCTATAAATAATAATCCAGAATTATTCCTATAAAGAATAATCCCAAATTCTCAGGGCTAGTTGCTGAGTTTTCTTGGAGGAGAAAATTGGCCAAAGTGTCTGCCTTCTTTATTGTTTCCATAAGTCAGTGTTGCCTTAGATACAGTCTTAGAGAATTCTGTCATATTCTTTCTCACGAATAAAGGACAACAAGCAACCATAGTGTGGCCATCAAGGTTTTCTCCTGTAGTTCTATGAAGGGTTAACTTTGTTAAATGTGCTTGCAGGAGAGTTATGTTTAATTGTAAACACAACCCCTTGACTAAAATAACATTTGAGGTGTCATCTGCTTTGGCTTTTTGTGGAATCTTCAGTTTTCTTACATGTGCGAAACACTGTCTTGTTTCAAAAATAGAAGAGCTGCAATGTAAATAAGCTTTCCCACAGAGCCTATATAGGTATCATACAATGAGAGGAATGACTTGATTCTTTTCAGATTTGCTCTCCATTTGAAACAGCCGTAACCATGGTTTTCACCCTGTGAAACAATGGAATCACGGTTTCATTTGTTGCAAGCATTTAACGTGCAAATGCCATTACAGCCAATGGTGGGAAAAATCCTATAAAATTTAATAGCCATCATAGGAAAAGAGTTGGCAGAACAAGTCCTTGAATGGAAGTAGTACAACAAAATGCTCTGTGCTACCTGCTCAGGGCACCTATTTGTCTCCCTTGGTCCTGAGGACTTAAAGCAAAATTAAACAGAGCCAAGGACAATTATAAATTTGAAGACGCTTGCTCACTGTCATCTCACTGTGAGTTGTTACTTTATTTCAGTTTTGCTGCTAACTTCTATAATCAGCTCATCAGAAACTAACAGAGTTCCTACCAACATCACAGTTCTTGTGCTTCATGCTTTTCTGATGATACAAAAACCTGATTAACCTAGATTTGTTCCTGGAGCATTTTTTGTCTGGTTTAGGGTCCAGTTTCTAGTACAGGAATGATTTGAATGGTTAGTTTATTTGATACAATAAGAACAAAATACATTATGTATGAATTGTACCTTTTAAGAGTGGGGAACTTTGACCTAAGTTTATTTATGTTTACAAACACAATAATGGTAAGGGTAGTGAGACTTAGGCTTCTGGCTAAGTCTCATTTATTTACTGTGTAATTTAGAAATTATGCATTATAGGGACAGTATGTCTGTGTTTGTCTTGCTTGCACAATAGTAAATGGGCCTGAGCTTAATGAATATAAAGTATTGCAACATTTACCAACATGGAAAGTCTAAAATGAAAAACAATATGCTTTAACATCTAAGCAAATAGAAAAACAAAGTTTCATTTTCAAATGGAGTCATGGCTCACATCATCTCATTTTCTTCATTCGAAGAGGAAAACATTAACACAAGATGTAGTTGTCCTCCAATTCATTTGATCTAATTTTCAACTTCTAAAGAATCAAGCACTGATGCTTACTCTCATGAACCTTGTCTTACTTATAATGAAAAGAAAGCAGCCTAGAGCTTTCCCGTAAGTCTCTCTCTCTCTCTCGCTCTCTCTCACTCTCTCTTCCTTTCTCTCTCTCTCTCAGTGACTCTCCCTCTTTTCCTCCCTTCTTTTCTCCCTTCTTACCTCTCTCCCTCCCTCCCTCTCCTTCCTTCCTTCCTTGCTTTCTTTCTTTCTTTTCTCGCTTTCTTTATCTTCTTCAATTTCTAATGGTATTCACTTATTCTGGAAAATGATTCTTGTGCAGATTGCTATGTTCTGCGAAGAGTGAAAAGAATTAACAGTGTGACACTGTTTCTTCTAATATTAGATTTGCATATTCAAAATAAACCTGTTCTGGAAGATGCTCTGGTGATTCTTTATAATGTAACTTGGCACCTTATAAACATTCTTTCAGTGACTTAGAACATAGCAGACACGATTCCAGACCCTGAGGATGTAGTAGGACAGAAGAGCTTTATGCTCATTTTGAATTTATCCAGGTAAAGCATCCACATGATACTGACACAGGTAAGGCACAAATATTGATACAGGTAAAGACACAGGTTAAAAAAATACACAGGTAAAGCACCCACAGGCTATTGAAGAAAATGATTAGGATGATCTGATTAATAACAATTGGAGAGGAGGGAGGGTGCAGTAAGGTGGCCAGGCAGGTCTTTTTGAACAGGAGATATCTGACAAAGAACCATGTGGTAAGAAGAAGCCAAATGTGAAAGGGTCATGTGAAGAATATTTCTGGAAAAGAGAACAGAAAAACCAAAGGCCCTAGAACAATGCATGACGTATTTGAGGAAGACATTGATTGCCAGTAGGCTGGAGTGGAGTGAGGTGTGCGCAGTCTGGGAAGCCAGAGTGAGAGAATCTAGGTTGAATAGTGGCCAAAGGCATCTGAAATACAGTGCTAAGAAGATGAAATTGATCGGAATATGATGTTAACATGTAACAATGAAAGACTCCCCCATATAGCTGACATAAAAATAATAAATACAGGGGAA